AGGAGTATGTGCAGGAGAGGAGTGTGGAGGATGGCAGGCAGTATGTACAGCAGATGAGTGCGGTGGATGGCAGGCAGTATGTGGGGGAGAGGAGTGCGGAGGGTATGACGGTGAGCAGTAAGTGGAGGAGAGGAGTGCGGAGGGTATGACGGTGAGCAGTATGTGGAGGAGAGGAGTGCGGAGGGTATGACGGTGAGCAGTATGTGGAGGAGAGGAGTGCGGAGGGTATCATGGTCAGCAGTATATCAGATGGATGCCAATACAAGGTTTTAGCCTTCTACAATAAGCAGAGCAGATAGTGACCGGGTCCATTTTGTTTTTTAATAATCCTTGACAGACATGAATGTGTTCCTCGGAGATGCTAACAGACAAGAACCTGCACAACTGTTCAACACACGGACACCATCTTAAGCCAGAGCTTAGACCAGACAGGACACCATACCTTCCATCTCACCTACTAAAGGATGTGATACAACAAAGCAAAAGAGGGAAAAAGAAAACAAATCGGATTTCCTTCATCAAATCGTCCCGCGGTACGCATGTAACACAGCCTCCGTGAGCTGACACCGTAAAAACACATGACGGGACGAGAAGCACAAGCACTGCTATGTACACGCGTGTACAGAGAGTTCAGAATCAGCCTTGCAGAGCTGTATATACAGTCAGCCAACATGTTGGGACCCGCGAAGGTAGCGCACAGGGGGCAGAGCGTGTCAGGTCAGAAGATGTCGCCTTGCTCATGCTCCACCAGGTACTGAATAGTCCCTTCTGCGGTGACCCGCTTGGCCAGCACGCGCATTCCCTGCTCTACAGTTTCTGACCAATCGCAGCCTTCCGAAGAGGAAGAGGATGAGGGCCGAGGAGGAGGCGATGAGGGTTTGCTCGGAGAGGCGACCGGGGCTGATGAGTCCAAAACTTCAGACAGCAGGGGGGAACCTTCTGAGACTGCAGGAGACGCCTCACTGAAACAAAAAAAGATCGACCATAGTGAGAAGACACAAAGAATAGAATGTGGTATTCCTCCTCCCCCTGCTCCTGTAGGAAAGGAGCTTCTAGTGCAGAAACAGGGACCCCAGCCCAATATGTTAATAATCAGGGATGCACCGATACCGAGTATTTGGGCGAGTACTCGTACTCGTACGCACCCAAATGCTCCCAATGCCTAGCCCCATAACGGAACTTCTTGTATCGGGAAGCCAGGCGACAAGTTTCCCCCGGCTTCCTGATTGGCCAGAAAACCGGCTCCATGCTTCCTCGTCACCTGGTGATGAGGGAGAATGGAGCAAGCATCTCAGGTAATCCAGAAGCTGGGCAGCGATTAATTACACTTAAAGTGACATTAAACCCTCCGATTTATTAACATAAAACAATACTGTAATGTGCGCCTTACTGTAATCCATGGTAGTTTCCCTTCTCTTTGCTGCTCTTCCTTTTAAATCCTCATGTCTTCTCATGCTGGGGGAGAACTTTCCTTTTGCAGCTCAGGGCCTCTTCCTGTAGTGCTGACTCAGGTTACAAGCCATACAAATCTATACACAGACACCGTGTGAGACAAGGCAGTCTGCTGCAAAACAGAAGTTCTGCCCAGCATGAGAACAGATACAGATTTAAAAGGAAGAGCAGCAAAGAGAAGGGAAACAACCATGGATTACAGTAAGGCGCACATTACAGTATTGTTTTATGTAAAAAAATCTGAGGGTTTAATGTCACTTTAATGGGACTTCCAGTATTGGTATCTGCGGGTACCATAGCGGTACTCATACTCGATACCGAAAAACGGGTATCAGGGCATCCCTATTAATAATAATTATTCTGTGCCGTCTGATTAATTGCTTATTTCATTGAAGTCTATGTGAACCCGATCTCTATCGTCTCAGAGGAGCTTTAACATGACAATGACATTTCAAAAGTCATTTTCAGCTGATGATGGTGCCATGAAGGTCCTTGTTGGTACAAACTACACACCGTCATCCTGTAGTCTGCATATAGTTTTACCTGGACTGCAGAGAAGCAGCTACGGGTCCGGAGGTGTTGGCAGAGGGGTGGAAAGAGGCAAACATCCGAATTGGAGGGCTGAAACCAAGAAATAAATCGTTATGAGGTGGACGCGGCCCTGACAAGGTGATACGATGTAGACAAAAATAAAACACACTATCATAAAAGTTTAGGGGCTCATTCCCACCAACCAGCAACAGGCTTGTTATCTGTGGAGCCGGTTCACACTAAGACCTCATTCACACAGCATAGAATCGGGCCGTACAGATCCGTGTGGCGTGCACGGTCGTATCGGGCCGTACCCGGGAAGGACAGGTGCTGCGTGTGATTGCGTGCAGCATCTGTACTCGGACACAGACAGGATGGATCCTGTCTGCGTCCAAGCACGGACACCTGGGCTCGTACGGATGTGCAGTTCGGGTGTGTTTATGACAGCGTACGGCCTTGTCCTCCCACAGGGAAGAACAGGCTGCTGCGCGCAATCACGCGCAGCACCTGTCCCTCCCGGGAACGGCCCGATACGGCCGTGCACGCCGTACGGCCCGATTCTACGTTGTGCGAATGAGGCCTAATGCACTGTAATGGTGTGCGCTTAAGATAAATTTATTATTATGCAGTGCATGGAGCATTCTGATAGGAGGAGAGAGTAGAGTGACCGAGAGATGAGCTCATCATTCTATTGCTTCTCTGTTCTCCTTAAGTAAAGAGAATGACCAAGTACAGTCACCAGGTAATGGTAACGGTGTAAAAAACTCTCCACTGGACCAGTGTGAAGCACAATACGGCCTCCTTAGCCGGCAGGTATCCCTTCCATCACAAATCCAAAAAATAAGGGGTGTGTCCTTCATTTTATGACGGTGGGTGAGGTCATGCAAGGAAGGCATTTTACCTTTATGGCTTTGGACCAACCTTACATCCAGAATAATTGGCTGACAGCAATGATACAGCTTCGTATTAAACAGCCATTTATTCCAAACTGCATGCAGCTGTTTCAGGCTTGTCAGCCATCGTCAGTGCAGTGTATGCACACCATGGCTTCTTTGGAGTAGGGCTTGAGAACCAACACAGTGGCTTAGTGGTTAGGACTTCTGCCTTGCAGCATTGATGTGCACTATCTGCATGGAGTTTGCATGTTCTCCCTGAGCTAGCATGGGTTACCTCCAGTTTCCTCCCACACTCCAAAGACATGCTAGTAGGTTTATTTGTCTCCTGTCTAAATGTGGCCCTAATATATTCTGAGTGGGCCCGAGATGGCTTCCCCAACAGCAGATACCTTTTACTTTCCTGTCATGGCTGAATAGAAGTCATTCAGATAAGCACAGCTCTGAAACGTTTGCATAGTTTCAGAGGTTGCCATAAAGCCCCGCCTCCATGTATTTCCACTGGTCCATGGACATCGTCACTGACCAATAGAAATTCCCAGCAGACAGAAGGGGTGGAGGCTTCTGTGCTATAAGGGAGTGCCAAAGCTCTACGTGGTCTAAGATTTGACTTTGAAAGGAAGATGTGGGGGGCCACTGAAGGTATGTGCGCCTCTACGTACCTGTGCTTCACATGTGCACCAGTTCTTCCCCCATAACACCAAGCAGATTAGAGCTGAGCTGATGAAAACCACATCTGCATCACTCACCTCTGCAGGCAGCGCGCTCCGGTGCGTCTGAAGTTGTAGGTGCTGCCGCGGTATCCCACATACTCTTGGTTAGGACTGAGTGGATTTTGTATCGCTTCCTGCAACAAAGACAGACAATGAAGTTGAATGAGATCACTAACGCGGTCAGTCCCAAGTGGTCTTCAGGGACTGGGTAGGGTTTACCCCAGTGGTGGTCAACTGGAAAATTATAGAGGGCCTCAAGTTCAGCCCTCAACACTCCCAAAGGGCTGCAATAATAGCAGCCCTCGCATGTGTTAATGCTTTGAGGTGAGTCTATCCAAAATGGACAATAAGGCACTGAAAGTTTGGGTTCTGATGCATTTTGTTACATAAGCCCTATAGTTAGTGGCAGCAACAGTAAATAACCGCATTGCTGGTCAATGGCAGTGCTGTTAACCCCTTTCCCCTCCGCACATTGCTGGTCAGTGCCTACCTGATCACATGCTCCGGTGCAGCAATCTCCCTCCCATCCGGCCTGGATGTACTATAGGTGCTCCTCCAGTGCCGGGTGTTCTGCATTTCGGCATGTCGTTACCCCTTTGGCAAACTGGCCACAAGTGCCCAACAGTTGGAACACCCAGCCCAGGACACAATGGGCCACACACAGAGAGAGCCAGCGGGCCACATGTTGGGCACCAGGGGTTTAGACGGACACTCGAGCCCTGCTCTATTGAATCTTATTAATTTATCATAATATTATTTGTCCAAGGGTGTCAGAATCTCTTTTTATTTCATATGAGTGCCACTTAATACTCTTTTAGAAACTCTCCTGAAGTCAGAAGCTCCCTACCTTACAATAAAGCCATAACTTTCCTATTATTCTAGTTCTGGGTTAGCTCAGCCTTTTTCCCTCACATGAACCCTTGAAATCATTTTTCCCTCTCAGGGAACCCCCGCTAAAATGAATTTATTGAGGATCAGTGGGAAGAATGCCCCTTACGTTGGTGATCAGAGAAGAATGCCCCTTACGTTGGTGATCAGAGAAGAATGTCCCTTACATTGGTGATCAGTGAGAAGAATGTCCCTTACATTGGTGATCAGAGAAGAATGTCCCTTACATTGGTGATCAGAGAAGAATGTCCCTTAAATTGGTGATCAGAGAAGAATGTCCCTTGCATTGGTGATCAGAGAAGAATGCCCCTTACATTGGTGATCAGAGAAGAATGCCCCTTACGTTGGTGATCAGAGAAGAATGCCCCTTACGTTGGTGATCAGAGAATGCCCCATACAGCAGCAGTAAGAATGCCCCTTACGTTGGTGATCAGAGAAGAATGCCCCTTACGTTGGTGATCAGAGAAGAATGTCCCTTACATTGGTGATCAGAGAAGAATGTCCCTTACATTGGTGATCAGAGAAGAATGTCCCTTACATTGGTGATCAGAGAAGAATGTCCCTTACATTGGTGATCAGAGAAGAATGTCCCTTACATTGGTGATCAGAGAAGAATGTCCCTTACATTGGTGATCAGAGAAGAATGTCCCTTACATTGGTGATCAGAGAAGAATGTCCCTTACATTGGTGATCAGAGAAGAATGTCCCTTACATTGGTGATCAGAGAAGAATGTCCCTTACATTGGTGATCAGAGAAGAATGTCCCTTACATTGGTGATCAGAGAAGAATGTCCCTTACATTGGTGATCAGAGAAGAATGTCCCTTACATTGGTGATCAGAGAAGAATGTCCCTTACATTGGTGATCAGAGAAGAATGTCCCTTACATTGGTGATCAGAGAAGAATGTCCCTTACATTGGTGATCAGAGAAGAATGTCCCTTACATTGGTGATCAGAGAAGAATGTCCCTTACATTGGTGATCAGAGAAGAATGTCCCTTACATTGGTGATCAGAGAAGAATGTCCCTTACATTGGTGATCAGAGAAGAATGTCCCTTACATTGGTGATCAGAGAAGAATGTCCCTTACATTGGTGATCAGAGAAGAATGTCCCTTACATTGGTGATCAGAGAAGAATGTCCCTTACATTGGTGATCAGAGAAGAATGTCCCTTACATTGGTGATCAGAGAAGAATGTCCCTTACATTGGTGATCAGAGAAGAATGTCCCTTACATTGGTGATCAGAGAAGAATGTCCCTTACATTGGTGATCAGAGAAGAATGTCCCTTACATTGGTGATCAGAGAAGAATGTCCCTTACATTGGTGATCAGAGAAGAATGTCCCTTACATTGGTGATCAGAGAAGAATGTCCCTTACATTGGTGATCAGAGAAGAATGTCCCTTACATTGGTGATCAGAGAAGAATGTCCCTTACATTGGTGATCAGAGAAGAATGTCCCTTACATTGGTGATCAGAGAAGAATGTCCCTTACATTGGTGATCAGAGAAGAATGTCCCTTGCATTGGTGATCAGAGAAGAATGCCCCTTACATTGGTGATCAGAGAAGAATGCCCCTTACGTTGGTGATCAGAGAAGAATGCACCATACATTGGTGATCAGAGAAGAATGCCCTACACGTTGGTAATCAGAGAAGAATGCCTCATACGTTGGTAATCAGAGAAGAATGCCCCTTACGTTGGTGATCAGAGAAGAATGCCCCACACGTTGGTGATCGGAGAAGAATGCCCCACACGTTGGTGATCACAGAAGAATGTCCCTTACGTTGAGAAGAATGCCCCTTACGTTGGTGATCAGAGAAGAATGTCCCTTACATTGGTGATCAGAGAAGAATGTCCCTTACATTGGTGATCAGAGAAGAATGTCCCTTACATTGGCGATCAGAGAAAAATGCCCCTTACGTTGGTGATCAGAGAAGAATGTCCCTTACATTGGTGATCAGAGAAGAATGCCCCATATGTTGGTGATCAGAGAAGAATGCCCCATATGTTGGTGATCAGAGAAGAATGCCCCATATGTTGGTGATCAGAGAAGAATGCCCCATATGTTGGTGATCAGAGAAGAATGCCCCATATGTTGGTGATCAGAGAAGAATGCCCCATATGTTGGTGATCAGAGAAGAATGCCCCATATGTTGGTGATCAGAGAAGAATGCCCCATATGTTGGTGATCAGAGAAGAATGCCCCATATGTTGGTGATCAGAGAAGAATGCCCCATATGTTGGTGATCAGAGAAGAATGCCCCATATGTTGGTGATCAGAGAAGAATGCCCCATATGTTGGTGATCAGAGAAGAATGCCCCATATGTTGGTGATCAGAGAAGAATGCCCCATATGTTGGTGATCAGAGAAGAATGCCCCATATGTTGGTGATCAGAGAAGAATGCCCCATATGTTGGTGATCAGAGAAGAATGCCCCATATGTTGGTGATCAGAGAAGAATGCCCCATATGTTGGTGATCAGAGAAGAATGCCCCATATGTTGGTGATCAGAGAAGAATGCCCCATATGTTGGTGATCAGAGAAGAATGCCCCATATGTTGGTGATCAGAGAAGAATGCCCCATATGTTGGTGATCAGAGAAGAATGCCCCATATGTTGGTGATCAGAGAAGAATGCCCCATATGTTGGTGATCAGAGAAGAATGCCCCATATGTTGGTGATCAGAGAAGAATGCCCCATATGTTGGTGATCAGAGAAGAATGCCCCATATGTTGGTGATCAGAGAAGAATGCCCCATATGTTGGTGATCAGAGAAGAATGCCCCATATGTTGGTGATCAGAGAAGAATGCCCCATATGTTGGTGATCAGAGAAGAATGCCCCATATGTTGGTGATCAGAGAAGAATGCCCCATATGTTGGTGATCAGAGAAGAATGCCCCATATGTTGGTGATCAGAGAAGAATGCCCCATATGTTGGTGATCAGAGAAGAATGCCCCATATGTTGGTGATCAGAGAAGAATGCCCCATATGTTGGTGATCAGAGAAGAATGCCCCATATGTTGGTGATCAGAGAAGAATGCCCCATATGTTGGTGATCAGAGAAGAATGCCCCATATGTTGGTGATCAGAGAAGAATGCCCCTTACGTTGGTGATCAGAACTCCATCCTTTCCGACAGGTAAAAAGATTATTCATGTCATGCCGCTGGCCCTGCCAGGTGCGTCTTGGAGCCGGAGTTATGCAGGTACCATCATATATGGGTCAATCAGTCACAACTCAAAGGATCCCCAAGGAACCCTAGTTGAGAACGGCTGGGTTAGAGTCTCTATCTGGGTCTTATCGCTCTCTGTGGTTCGTATTGGGGAGATTTCCCTTCACCTCCAGCGTGGTCACTGTGACAGGAAGTGAGGTAGCATACAGAGATGTCCCCTGCACACCATACAGCATGGTTATGTTATACATGTTCTGCACTAAAAAGAACTTTTGGATTTACTCCATCTTGTGCTGGTGATCTTCGTCGTTAACATCTCAGGAAGTGAGGTAGATCTTTTAATGAGGGTCACAGACAGCAGTAAAAACCTGACACTGGTCCTTCCGTCTCCCTATTCTATACAGAAAGAAGGTTTTATCTGGAGTTCTACTTCAAAGGAAACTTGTTGTGACAGAAATATGTACATCTGGAAGAGGGAGGTTGCACAACCTAGAACCATGAAGGAACTGTTTGATCAGGGCTACAAAGGATCATGGGAATCTCCTATAACCCCACAGACTAGTGTTGACTGAACTCTATGGACAGAACACCTCTCAATGCTCCTTAGCAGCCAGGGAAAGGGCATTTTCTGCATTTTCATTCCTAGTAAAATATAGAAGAGAATACAGAATGGACATCGAAATTCCGCATAGCATTACCTGGGTAACAGCTCTCTGCAGCTTCTGCCTCTCCTTCCGTGTCCTTTGAGCTATGCTTGGTGTCTTTTTTCTGTGTGGGGGGCGTGTCAGGACCCCCATCCTCCCTGAAAGGGAACTGCAAGAGATCTTTATATCCGCTCGCTGAGGAGGGGAAGGGAGACACGCGAGGCAAGCATGTTACATATACAGACAGGCTTATTCAGTAAGGCAAGGAGCAATCTGCTGTCTCCCATACCAACTCATCGCAATTAAAGTGTATCTCCTGCCAAAACCTTTTCATTCGTTTTGGATATACTGGGGGAATGGTTAGAACCACTGTAAGGCTTTTACTGCTGTCTTAGATTTCGTTGGGGAGATTTCCCTTCACTTCCTGTCCTGGTGGCACCCTGCCAAATGATGACCACACCTAAATGGGGACATTGGAAGCAATCAAAACCTGGCAGGAATACCAAATCTTCCCGACATTATTTAGGACTTGAAGAAAATTAGAAGTTTTGCCTGAAGCTGGTTTTTAACAATGTCACCAAGACAGGAAGTGAGAGGAAATCTCTAAAAGGGATACACACAGCTATTTTGTTGGAGCTCATTAAAGTGACATTAAAAGCAATTTTTTTTTCCCCTCACCCCAACGTTAAGTAAAGCACTTACCTTAAATGATGTCTTTTAATCCGATCTTCTTCTTTCCTGATGTGTTTCTTCTCTCCAGCGAGTCTCTGATCCAGCGCTGACTCCTCTGAGCTTGCTGGTACTTCCTGTCCCACAATGTCTGCATGCGGGTGCACACTGTCCATAGACTTACCTGTTGTCTCTCCTCGCGTCCCGGCCGAAAATGTGAACTGCGCATGCGCCCGCCCCAAGATGCTTTGCGGCCGCCCGAGCAGTTTCACATTTTCGGACAGGAGCCCTCGGGGAAGACACAGGTAAGTTTAAACCGCTGTTAACGTGTTTTTTATAAACGTTTTGCATATATCTACTGCTTGCTAGCGGTAGATATATGCAAAAAAAAGCTGAGGCTTTAATAACCCTTTAAGTTAGACATGATTTGGAAACAATTGAGTTATATTGCCGCCTACAGGAGGATATGGGCACAACCCCCTCCCACTCCCAGTATGTCTCAGCTTGGAAAAAAACAGTACTAGATCAAAAAACAGAGGGGTGGGGCCTGTGCCCCTTACTGCCTTCCCCTGGATCAAACACATAAAACACACACATGCAGAGGTTGAACTTATTGGACCTGTGTCTTTCTTTCGACATTACAGCCATTAAACTAACTCCAAGAAATAGATATTACGGTACAGATACAAAAATCACATTTTCTTTCTTGTTCGATAAGGGACACATTGGGGTATTGACGTGATCTGGAGAAGGTGCGCATGGCAACCAATCAGCTTCTAGCTCTCATTTTCAAACTTTAACTGAGCAAGCTGAAGAGAGAAGATGATTGGTTGCCATGCACAGCTGCTCCAGATTCTGTCTGCTCCAGTTTTATCCAATTCCCCTCCCCATAGGATTCAGAGACACTTGGAACATCCATAAGCAGTCCAACTAAAGGGTGGGCAAAAGTAACAAAACACCAACAGGCCCACATAACAAAGCAACAAAACCTGTTGTTGTAAAAAAACCTTCTTTGTAAAAGAGGATAAGTAAAAACCCCTGTCAGCTTTTTATAGCTGTGCGGTCCTGTTGCAGAGTGTTCCTCCCCATCCCGCAATTAAAAACCTGAGAGATGTTCTAACCCTTCCACCCCCCCTGTTCAAAACAAAATGTAAAAGTTTGGGCTGGAGTTACACTTCAATTTAATTTACTGGTCCGACTGGTCCGTAAACTGAAAGCTGATAGGTTGCTATGAGTTAGCCCACTTTTGACATTATTGCTGCTCTTTGCACCCCCTTACTGAATAAACCTGAGAGGTAGCAGACGTGAATGTTAGGCGGATGGTAGGTCAGGGTCCCTCACCTTACACAAGGAGTGGGGCTCCTCCTTACATCTGTCTCCTGTAGCCTCAGCTCAGTCACTGTACTCTGTGGGGCGGGAGGGGGGACACGGCTCTGAAGCCCAAATAGACACTTTTTTTTCTTGATCTCCTTCCCAGAGATAAACCTGAGAACAAGAGAGATAATCCAACATCACTCACACACATATCAATGGACATGAAAATAAATACACTGCACTCCTTGTTCCATCATTTATTGGCCTTAAAAAGTAATCAATAAGCTTCATACAGCTTGCCCATAAAGCCCCCATCTCTAGTAAAAGTCAAGAGACAGGTGTGGACCTGTAAATAACCCTGGCAAGCTGAGATGCTGTGCCAATGCCAATGTAGATAAAAGTCTGTCTCCCAAGTGGCAGCAGAGGTTTGGTTTAAAAAGTACCCACTAGACTCCGAGATATAATTCCAGGCGCTATCTACCTTGAGTCTGCTGCTTCTCCTTATATATATGGGGGGGGGTCTCCGGTTAAGATGGTTGCTTTCCACAATCCAGATTGATGGGATTTCACTCCACAATGTTACAGCACTTGTGTGACTGCGATGGGGATATCAGAATGGAAGGTGCAAGCTGTCTGGTGTGATCTAACTAGAAATGTACTCACTGTTTTGCTGATCTCCGGCATGTTTTATCCTGGAAATGATCGTGTGTCTATTTGTCTTAATTTGCTTTTGATGATTGCATTTCAATATTAATATGAAGTCAATACGGAGTTTATGTTATGGTATGGTATAGTATAGTATGAGGTATAGTATGGGGGTATAGTATGGGGTATAGTTTGGGGTATAGTATGAGGTATAGTGTGAGGTATAGTATGGGGTATAGTATGGGGTATAGTATGGGGTATAGTGTGAGGTATAGTATGGGGTATAGTATGGGGTATAGTATGGGGTATAGTGTGAAGTATAGTATGGGGTATAGTATGGGGTGTAGTATGGGGTATAGTATGGGGTATAATATGGGGTATAATATGGGGTATAGTATGGGGTATGGTATGGGGTATAGTATGGGGTATAGTATGGGGTATAGTATGTGGTATAGTATGGGGTATAGTGTGGGGTATAGTATGTGGTATAGTATGTGGTATAGTATGGGGTATAGTATGGGGTATAGTATGAGGTATAGTATGGGGTATAGTATGAGGTATAGTATGGGGTATAGTATGAGGTATGGTATGGGGTATAGTATGGGGGTATAGTATGTGGTATAGTATGTGGTATAGTATGGGGTATAGTATGGGGTATAGTATGGGGTATAGTATGAGGTATAGTATGGGGTATAGTATGATGTATAGTATGGGGTATAGTATGGGGTATAGTATGGGGTATAGTATTAGTTAGACCTATTTTTAATAGTAACTCTCAAGCAACCAGAAACTACAATCCCCGTAGATGCCGGATAACAGGGAGTTTACTGTATTACTAAGCATTATGTCATGGTGATATAAATATGGGAAACACATAAACAGGGATTCATATGACAGGACAGAGGAATATCTTGTCTGGCTCTTACCTGTCTTTCTGAGCTGTCAGAGCGTGAAGCAGATTGGAGTACCGTTCTGATCGAGGAGTATCTGTGAGCTGAAAAGGACATTGTGTTACAGTGGGAGTAACAGTCGCACATCAGATTTCACATCCCAGAGTTCCACTTTAAAGAGATATTATTATCCACACAGAAAACATGGAAGCGACAGCGCCACCATTTAAGCAAAGTGTACACTTGTTCAAAGAGGGGGAAAGAGGACAAATCAACGGGATGAATATGTTACCGACAGACCCACTTACATCTCCTAATAACAGACTCTCCCAGTTCTCGTTCACAAAGGAAAGGATCTCCCGCTCGAAATCAAAATATTTCTTCTTACAACAAATACTGAGGTGATAGAGGACAAGGTGAGAGACGTCAACCCTGCAGGTCACAAAGAAAAAAAGTTATACTACTAGATGACCTTTGACGGATTTGTTATGTGAAAATACTATTCTAAAAATGAACTTTAGGAATACAATGAAAAAACACAAATGTATTTACTTTTGCATTTCGTATACAGCTAGTTCAAGTACCTACAATTGCATTTATATTAGCTACATGTGATCCCCTGCCCTGCGAATCATGCTCCACTACACTGCATAGTGCTGCTAATCTGAGAGCTTGCTGATGGAGGGGGGCAGTGATGACCTCCTCAGTGTTCTTAGGCTGGGTTCACACCTAGGCGTATTGAATATGTGTGTTGTAAAGTAGTCACTCCTGTGATGGACTACAATCTTAATACAAATTAGTAAACTAAACATGAGATTGTAGTCCATCACAGGAGTGACTACGTTACAACACACACAGGGACCATGGGGAACACAAGTAGCCCCCCCTCCAGAAGGAAGGACAGTGTCAGCGCCAATTCAGAGATGATTGGAGGATCTACAGCCCAGTGATACACAAATAAGATACATTGTTGTGAATAGTTAAGGTACCTGAATGTATTTTTAAGGTTTAACTCCGGAGTTTAGTGTCACTTTAGGTAAAATGATCATAAATACATCTTAGGGGCAGGTAGCAGATCACTCACCATGCCAGGGGAAGTCTCCAGGCGTTTTCTGGACCTCGCGTACAGACTGAGCAGTCGAAAACGTAAAACCTGACGTAAAACAGAATGTCCCATTTTACAATTTGCTTTTCAGACACATTGCAACTGAACAATCCCAAGCCACCAAGACTATTGTGTCCCACTCTTATCCTTCATATGCATTTGGTGCTGGGTAAGGAAGGGCAGCCATTGCACATGTAACTCCAAGATGCATTTACCTGCCTCACCTGGCATATCGCCAACAGCGATGGTGCCTGCTCTACCGCCATCGCTTCACCCATTCTTTTAAATGGCTCCCCAGAAACAGAGTTCTCAAAATGACATCAGGAGGGAATGGCAAATGGGAAACCTCACTAACATCCTGATTCTGGCGACAGTGGAGAGCATCTGAATCTGCACACAGCTGACAGTTTTCATCATCGCTTCCATAGAAAATAAACTTTATCCCATTTCTTTACTGTACTGAGCAAAGTGGGGAAGGGTTAGAATCTCTCTCAGGTGTTTAGTGCTGCAATTGTGCCGGGAAGGGTTCTTTCACACGTATGTTGAGGATTTGATGAAACAGCAACACTGGTTAACGCGCCTATAGCATTTTCAAGGCATTAAAGGAGAACTATGGGGTCAGGGCTTTTCCCCATAGTTCTCCTACGGGTAACGGGAGGACACAAACTAGCGTCCTCCCGTCACCCAAAGCTCACTATACCGCATGCTACAGCTGAGACGCCGCAGCCGGGACGGATCCTGACATTACTGTCTGGATCCACCCAGCTGCGTGAGTGACAGCTGGCTCTGCCTATCTAGAGGCAGAGCCAGCTGTACCCGCACCACCCTCCCCGTCCGTTCCGCCAGTCAGCGCTGGAGGATCGGACAGGGGAAAGGGAGATTCCCTGCAGGGAGCCGTGAGTGGCAGGCACGGCTCTCTGCAGGGACAGGATCGTGAAGTGAGCGAACGCCGGTATTTGTTCGCTCACTTCCCGATCTATTGAGCTGACGCGTGACAGTTTCATTGTCACAGGTCGGCTAGAACTATGAGGCTGATTTTCACTCACCTCATAGTTCTCCTTTAAGGAGACATCAAAACAATTGCAAAATGTCCTGCAAGTAGATTCAATATACTTCAATTGGGGCATTTGGCCAGCAGCAGTGCCTCCAGAATGCGACATTCACTCTATTTTTTGACACACATTAATGCAACACGACACTAACACCCATGTGTGAAAGGCACTGGGCAGTTTCTATTGCATTATCCCACATCAGCGCCAATAGGAGGCAGGGAGGTGTTAAAAACTCTTCTCTGATGCCTGGTTTTAACACACGTGTGGAAGAGGCCTTCGGGAGTGATCAGCTTTGGCTGGGTGTCCTTGGAACAGGAAGTGAGGGAAAATCTTCCCATTGGAGACATGGACAGCAAAAAAAAAAAGAAAAAAAGCCTGTTAGAGGTTGTAACCCTTCCCAACAATGTAAAACTAAAAATACCCATGGCTGGAGTTTGCTTCGAAATACAAATATACACAGCACACGGGCAAGCTTATCCAGGAATTCATCTATTACTAGTGTACCTGGACTACAGAGTTTGTTCGGTAAGGCTGAATGAAGTGCAATAATTGTATGGAACATAGTGGTATGGACGGAGATGCCAAAGTCCCAGGACTCAGCCTCTGGGGCAGGGATGGGCAACTCCAGCGGTTTTGGAACTACAAGTCCCATGAGGCATTGCAAGACTGACAATGACAGGCATGACTTCCAGATGTAGATGCATGTTGGGATTTGTAGTTAAAATACAGTTAAAGAGGCAGAGTTGCCCACCCCTGCTCTGGGGGAAGCTATTTGTAGCCTCTCCTGTGTGGCTGCAGACGGGTTCTCCTGCCATCCAGATGCAGCCTGAGAGAGTTTGGTTCGTTATTTATCAAATGAAGGTTAGACCCAAAGCAGAATACTCAGAGATGTCCACTATTGCGGACATATAGGAAAATATCTCCATGTGTTATAAATGGCATTTTGGGGCTTCAGTCTGAATGCTAAGGTAGGTGGGCCATACCAGCGTGAACCATGGACTGAGGCATGTGCACTATGACTTGGCTCAGGTATGAATTCTTGCTTTGATGAGGGTCCTGCCATAGAGCCATAGAGAATATGAAATATGGACCACTACTGGCTGCGCCAAACCACTATGACATATTAGTGCAGCACCCCTTAAAACACCTACATATTTTCTTCCCCAACTACAGGCACCTCCCACTTATTATCCATAGATCCGTCCTGCACTGGGGGGCTCAGGAAGATTGTCTGCCCTCGAGCTTATGCTTGTTCTGAACACTGAAACAGGCGCATCTCTATGTCCACAGGCTATGACATGTACCTCATGAAAGCACCTAGTAGCTTTAATGTCCCCGTCCATTAAACACAAACCTGTCTCCGTACAAAAGCGGTTTGCTCAGACACTGTGTACAAGCCTCATGGAACCACTGAAGACAGCGACAACACTGAAGCATCTTCATGTTCCATCTGTGGAAACAGAGATCTGTGTGTATATGTGTACACATAAACAACCATCAATGCATAACACATCCCGCTATTAAATGTTCAACATTCATACTTACACCACTCCGGGACCCACCCGTTCCACCTGCCCTCCCATCCCTTTAGCCACCACCACCCGTCCCTTTGTTACTTACGCCATACTTACTCTCCAGGCCCCCCGCAGTAGCAGTAACACTGTTGTTTATTGGTTAAGTGAAGTGGGTCCCACTCTAAAGACTTCAACTGATAGGGCAAAGACAGTTTCATGTGCAGCATTGAGCGGGCATAAGGGCCCTTCTTGAGAGCGCCACCTCTCTAAAAAAAAGCAAAGGTTTAGTCCAGCAGATTGACCATAGAATACAAGTGTAATGACCAATTGGGGATCATGTGAGGTACCACACGGCAACAGTGTATTCAACAACGCATATATTTCAATAATGGATTTTTCAGATACCCACATAAGAGAACTTCTTTATTTTATATGTAAAATATCATTAAAATGTTCAAATAAAAACTTAAACTTGTGAATTGATATATGTGCCAAAAGTAAGCCATCTTATCCAGTGTACCTGTTAAAACCAGAGGGGGTACATACACTATATTGGCAAAAATATTGGGACACCCCTCCAAATCATTGGATTCAGGTGTTCCAATCACCTCCATGGCCCCCGGTGTATAGGATGAGGCTCCTCGGCATGCAGACGCTTCTACATACATTTGTGAAAGAATGGGTCGCTCTCAGGAGCTCAGTGACTACAAGCGTGGTACCGTGATAGGTTGTCACCTGTGCAATAAGTCCATCCGTGACATTTCCTTGCTACTAAGTATTCCGCGGTCACCTGTTAGCGGTATTATAACAAAGTGGAAGCAACTGGGAACAACAGCAACTCAGCCACGAAGTGCTAGGCCACGTAAAATGACAGAGCGGGGTCAGCGCATGCTGAAGCGCACAGTGCGCAGAAGTCGCCAACTGTCTGCAGAGTCAACAGCTACAGACCTCCAAACTTCGTGTGGCCTTCAGATCGGCACAACAACAGTGCGTAGAGAGCTCCATGGAATGGGTTTGTGTAAAGATTGGTGGAGGGGGGATTATGGTGTGGGGTTCATTTTCAGCGGTTGGGCTTGGCCCCTTAGTTGCAGTGAAGGAAACTCTTAAGGCATCAAGATATTTTGGACAATTTCATACTCCCAACCAGTGCACAAAGCAAGATCCATAAAGACATGGATGAGCGAGTTTGGGGTGGAAAAACTTGACTGGGCTGCACAGAGTCCTGACCTCAACCCGATAGAACACCTTTGGGATGAATTAGAGCTGAGACTGCGAGCCCGGCCTTCTCCTCCAACATCAGTACCTGACCTCACAAATGGTCCAACATTCCCATAGACACACTGCTAAGCCTTGTGGACGCCTTCCCAGAAGAGTTGAAGCTGTTATACCGGCAAAGGGCGGAGCCAACCCAATACTGAACCCTACGGACTAAGACTGGGATGCCATTAAAGTTCATGTGCGTGTAAAGGCCGGCGTCCCAATACTCGCAATATAGTGTATATTATCCCAAGTAAGATTATGAATTATTATGTACATATGGATGTTATCATGTCTGTTTAGATATATTATAGGGTTGTACAGATACCCAGTACAGTACTCGGTACAAGTACGAGTACATGTACCGATACTTTTGAGCTCCAAGACTACACTAGAGAAAGATTCAAAAATTAGGAGGTAGCTGTCATGCGTAAGGAGCACACGGAGCTCCCGGGATTTGTACCTCTCGGTTTTAATGTACGATTTTGTTTTTATAAATATAAATAAAGGGATGCACAGATACCAGTTTTGCGAGTACGAGTACTGGTACTTGCCGAGTACTTACAAGTACGAGTACTGATACATTTTTGTTTATTGTCATGTGACAGTTTTTCTAAAACAATACAGACTAAGGCCTGGTTCACACCTGAACGTTTTGTAGCGCGTTCAACGCTCGACGAACGCTCTACAAAACGCTCAAACATCTAAATCCCATTGTATTCAATGGGTCTGGTTCACACCTTGCCGTATTTCCGCGCGTCCGAACGCGATACAAAACGGCCTACGCCCAAAGAAGTACATGTACTTCTTTGGGGCGTTTTGGTCTCGCGTTTTCATTGGGATACAGCCAAGTAGCCCTCGGAAACGGGCGTTTGTCGCGCGTTTTTTTACCGCGAATCACGGTAAAAACACGCGTCGCGCGACAAACGCGCATTTTCAATACGCCTAGGTGTGAACCCAGCCTAATGATTTTAGGACAGTGGTGGAGCGCCAGAGCCAGATCACAGCTGCAACCTCTGCAACCCTGGTAGTTCTCATGAAAATGCCAAGTATCTGCACTGGTACTTGAAAAGTATCTGTGCATCCCTAATATTATATTCATCTTCATTTTCATCTATGTTATACTTACCATATGTCTGTATCAACAGCTTAGATACTTCTGAACACGTAGAGTACAGCCTATCCAAAAAAATTATCCGGTTCATCTGTTGCGTTTGATGCACGTTCATAAAGGATGGTATGACACTGATTATAATATACTACTACTATGTTGAGGGTGATATTAGATATGTGCATTGTAGCCACAATTATCAATTCACAAAATGTATATTTTTATTTGAACATTTTAATGATAAGTTATATACAAAAATAGAAGTTCTCTTATGTAAAAACTATAACTTGTACCAGGGTGGGTACCTGTAAAGTCCGTTATTGAAATTGATGTGTTGTTGAATAGCTAGACTACAAGTGACAGAAGAGAATAGATATACCTTGGTAGCCACAGCAAAGACACATTGTCTGCACATCCAGGAACTGCCGGGACTATCTGTATCGCTGGGGACGCTGGGGACATGGCATTCCTGGTGATAGGCTGCAAAACACAAAGCAAGGATTAGTATAGTTAATAATGTCCCATGAAATACCAGCAACGCTTCGGGATATCCTGAAATGCCTCTAGATAGGCGGAGCCAGCTGTCACTCACACAGCTGGGTGGATCTCAACAGTAATTGCGGCGGCGGTCTCAGTATACCGCGAGTTGTAGCTCGCTATATACTGAGCTTAGGGTGACGGGAGGACGCTAGTTTTTGTCCTCCCGTTACCCTTAGGAGAACTGTGGGGAAAAGCACTGACCCCATAGTTCTCCTTTAAATGACTTGAAACCCCCAAAAATCTATAAACCAGTCCCTCAAGAGAATGTCATTTGGCAAGAAACTCAAATAGAGCCCTGAGTGACACTGACCGAGTCAGTCTACAGTACATATATTACATTACAAAAATAAATCAAAATCTTTTAAAAATTATATAAATTGTTTTTGTCCATTTGTAAGCCTACGGTACAAAAACCTGAGCATGGTATTTAGTAAAACAGTGTACCAAATAAAATCCCTTTATGCCCTTAAAACACAATGTATTACCTATTATTATTAAACATTGCAAAGTTTGCTCTAATTGTTTAAAGTGTCAGCTGGAGTTGGACTTTTATTTGTTTCTTGCTTACATAGGCCTCATTCACACACCCTAAATTGGCCATGGTGAGGCAAGTATACTGTGGATGCCTGCTGTCAAGTGTTCCGCAGATAGTGTCCAGGGGCAAACATCTGTCCCTAACCGCAGATAACCGCTGGATGTGTGGATACAGACTGAGGGGCTGCCACTTATCAGGAACACATGGGATCCCGGCCGCAGGTATCCGCAGTATACTTGCTGCACCCTGGGCGATTTTTGAAATGACAACAAAGTCACCTTTAGAAATGTTTAGTGATGACAATCTACAAGCACATACCTCTAGATAATTACCGGCTTTGTATTCTTTATATACCTTATTTTTCTTTTCCTCCCCATTCTTCTGACAGCGGCCATTTTAACAGGGCAGATTAATATATCTCCCTTTACTTCCTGGAACTCTGGCACGTGTGACTAGGACATGTGACCACGCACATCATCTCAGGGGGAGGAAAATGCCTTTCCCTGAGATCTCATGAGATTACAAATGAGATTTCCCACCAATGCTCTGCTGATGTCACCTTCCCAGGATGCAAATCTTGGGCACATTATATCACTAATGACAAAGAGGACCAGGAAGTGGAAAAACAATAACTGTAAGTAAAAGCAAAATATATTTATTTAGCTAATGAATGCAAGATGATTTAATATCAGCATGTAGAGCTGCATACTGCTGTGATTTATAGAGAAAGGGGGTAAAGGTCAGCTTTAGGGTCTAAATAAAGCTGCTGTACATGACCATCAAAGACTACCCCGTCCTTCAAGATTTTACTGCAGAATGAACAGTGTTGTCACCCTATTAAAGGATTAGGAATAGTAAATGATCTACTAGCAGTATCAACAGCCAATAAAACTGTTATGTGGGGACTGCTTTGTTAAAGTGACATTAAACCCTCAGATTTGTTAACATAAACCAATACTGTAATGTGTGCCTTACTGTAATCCATGGTTGTTTCCCTTCTCTTTGCTGCTCTTCCTTTTAAATCCTCATGTCTTCTCATGCTTGGGGAGAACTTCCCTTTGCAGCTCAGGGCCTCTTCCTGTAGTGCTGGCTCAGGTTACAAACCTACACACAGACACCATGTATCCATTTCAGAGACAAGGCAGTCTGCTGCAAAACAGAAGTTCTGCCCAGCATGAGAACAGATACAGATTTAAAAGGAAGAGCAGCAAAGAGAAGGGAAACAACCATGGATTACAGTAAGGCACACATTACAGTATTGTTTTATGTTAAAAAATCTGAGGGTTTAATGTCACTTTAATGGTAGTGAGAGCCTGTTTCACATGTCATTTTCGTTTTTTTGGTTTCCACTTATACCAACGTATACTAACACTGGTCTGGGCATATCAAGGCTTCAATAACCTCTGGTCATGAAAGGGTTAGAGACCTATGGAATGCCTGACAACATGCAAAGTATTATAACAGCTAACACCATGAAGCGGAGATGACAGAAGGCAATGAGCTAGTTTTGTCCTCACCGTGCTTGCACTTCCCACAATGCACGAGTTTATTGTCAGAGGTACACGACTGTGAGTTACACACGCAGCACAGCTGCTCCTTCCCCGGGACGGCGGCTACGGAACAAGAAGAGAAGATAATTCATGAACCTGCCATGCGTGACGGCGGGAATTCCGCCATGAATTATTAATTATGTCAGTTACAGTCATCAAAGCGGAATCTGAGATCTTACGAGGAAAGATGTCCTTCCACAGCACTGAGAACTGGGAGTTATCTTCAAAGCGGACCAGGCACGTCTCCTGTGTGCTATCCACCTGTAAGCGGGAAGAGTTTATGAGATGTGAGTGAGAAGGTACATCCAGGAGGAGGTGAGGAGGCTGAGAGTGAAGGGTTGGCAAGCAAAGTGGTGACAGTATTCCCCAGATCATCTGACAACTTTCATTTTACGCCGGGGGGTTTGAATCTATTTGTTTTTTGTAAGGCACTGCGGGTATCCATATGAAAGACACTTTGATGCATCTTAATACTACAACCTAAACCCTGAACTCCAGGCAAACAGCTAAATACACATAAGGGAGCTGTTTTATCTGCCAAATGATTTGCATTATTGTCCAACCAGTCCTGGGATTTACACAGCTCTGACAAACGGCACTGCCCTGTATGGCAGTGCAGGAAACCTGATTATTCTTTGCTGCAGTTAAGTAACACTAAGGGCCGGTGCACACCTATGCGACACCGTACCGCGCGGCAATCGTGCACGATTCCGGGCAGATTGCGGCGCGGTAAGGAGTCGTATAGATGTGCACTGATCGCGCTGTAGGTGCCATTATTTTTCAATGGCAACCCAGTCGCGCCGGGCAGATCGCGCGGTACCTTTTTTCTGCGGTACATGATGCGCGGCTGCTTTAGCCGCAATCGTGTTCAGGAGGACGGGCGGAAGCGTGAAGGGAAACCACGCGATCCGCCCGGCGAGACTGGGATGCCAATGAAAAAAAAATCAGTGCACATCTATATGACTCCTTACCGTGCGGCAATCCGCCCGGAATCGATTGCCGCACGGTATGGTGTTGCATAGGTGTGCACCGGCCCTTAAAGGTCTTGTCCATCCCCCAGCCTATGACTAGACAGTGAAAAGAGAAGCAGGAGACTGATAAGCTTAGCTCTCTATCATTCTGCTCTCTTCTCCTATAAGCATGCTCATTTTGCTGCAGGACAACTGTTTCTCCCCCTTTCAGTCTGGGCTCTGCTGGGAAAAGCCCAGAGGCTGACACCAAGTTGAATTCAGATACTTACATTGCTTGTATTTATTAATTATTAAGTATTATTGAATACATGTTGCAATATTTTGTGCCTTTTATATCTACCTGGAGTTCAGCATTAACCACTTCCTGCGGGTTCACGTAAATGTATGTCATCCGCTGGAAGTGGTTATACCAGCAGGCGATTTCTGTTTAAATACAAGTGATTTGACGTCTATACAGGTGCCGGATCGCTTGTGTGGTGCGGCGCAGTGTCGTCGTTGCCCCCCCCCCGTTGCCGCTCTGTATATCAAAAGGGTCCTCACCTTCTTGATGATGCCCAGGTACAGCAGTCCGTCTGTCCACCGAGCTAGAACGTCTTGACCCTCCCAGAAGCGAGCCAGTGTCTGGAAACGGGGGCGCTTCACCAGAGCAGGGTTGACCCTGGGGCTGGTGGGAGTGGTACGGCTAGGTCGGGTCGGGGTCTCCCTTCCCTCCATCACATTTTAAAAAGAACCTGTAGAAACAAACCATAAAGGAAGTCAGAGAGAGAAGAGAAGTCTGGAAGAACGTTAATGATGATACAATCTGTCTGCATGAACTGATGGGGCAATACAAAGAGGAAGGAAAATGTGTAGAGGTCAACTGGAACCCACAACCACCAATTGGAACCCACAACCACCAATTGGAACCCATCTTTAGGACATCTTCAAACAGATAAGTTTAATCTGGTATACAAATCATCGCTGTTTCCTGCATTGAATAAAGCCAAAAGACTCTAAATCATGGGAACCAACAACCAAAATGAAGTATAATTTTTTAAGTGAACCTGAATAAACCGGGAGCTGACAATATCTTCTTGTGCATGATAGACGCAGGCTTGGTGGCTGCCGGCTTGCTCTTATTTTTACTGCCTAGTAAATCACTGACCAGGAACAAGTATGCCAGTCTGACAACACACTTATTTCGAAGCAGTGACTCACCAGGAAATAAAGCCAAGATCAAAACATTAGCCCTGGGGGCTGCCCCTTAAAAATTAATGGGCAATGGCAGCTCCCATCTCTATATCCTCATACATTTCTTTTAAAGTGTAACCATTTTGCATCAATTTTTTTAATGAAAGGTAGTTGTATAGCGCCAACAATTTACATTCACATCAGTCCCTGCTCTCAAGGGTCTTACAATCTAAGGCCCCTATCTCCCGTGTAGGCATACGCATACTTACTAGCACCAATTAACCTACCAGCATGTCAATTGAGTGTTGGAAGAAACCAGAGTACCCAGAGGAAACCCAAGCACATGCAAACTCCATGAGGTAGCTTCCTGGTTGGGATTCAACCAAGTATCTCAATGCTGCATGGCAGGAGGTCTAATCGCTCAACTTGACCGACTCAATATAATAAGCAGGGTCATCCCTATAATTGGGCTGCCTTAGGCCACACATGCCGCACCCCTTTCCAGCCAGAGTGCACCAGGTTGCTAAGAGCTCTTAGCAACCTGTGATGCTCTGGCTGGCCTCCAGCGCAGCTCCTAGCAACCAGTGATGTCAGTGAGTTGGGCGGCATGCGGGACACAAGTACCTTCCCCTTCTGGTAACCTGGGCAACCAACAACCCCCCCACCGGGAATGTGCACCGCCAGCAACCACCTACTTGCTGACCATTGAAGTGCCCAGTAGATGTTCCAGTTGTGCTAGTTGCTACAGGCATTGTACAGACTAGGGATGCACCGATACCGCTACTAGTATCGGGTATCGGTGCCGAGTGTTTGGGCCAGTACTAGGTTTGTTCTGAAGTTGAATTTGTATGTAAGTTGGAACAGGTAAATTTTTTAAATGCAGCTCCAGCCAAAAAAAAATGTTTTTAGTTTAGGATAGCATAGGGAAGGGTTAACCCCCTGTAATGTTTGTTTTGCTGTGTGTGCCCCTGTTCAGAAGATTTCACCTCACTTTCTGTCCCTGTGACAATTGGATTTTGAACATTTTGGGTTATCGTGGAAACAAGGATTGGTGGTAAAGCTTCAGTGGAGACACCCTTTTCCCATGATCACTCTTACAGGAGTGAATTTCCCTTCCTAGGGGTGGATTTCCGCTCACTTCCTGTTGTCTCAAGGACAGGAAGTGAGATTAAATCTTTCTAATGAGGATACAGATAGCAGTAAAAACCTCACAGTGACCCGGAAGAAGAGGCGGGCACCCCATATCTGCACGTCTAACAACAGCCAACTTCCTGTAATGTACGTACAGTACTACGAACCATCCCCAAAAAGGTGGGTACTCCTCGTCTGCACAAGTACGCTAGCATTACAACTACTGGAACGCTGCGCAGTACACTTTAGCTGCAGCCTGGGACCCCCTGCTGTACAGTAATAGCCTCCATTTGTAAGTAGGAATCGTATGTAAGTCAGATGTTTGTAACTCGGGGACTTCCTGTATACGTATATGATTCCCAGACCCGTATTGCTTTCTGGAGCTCCCGAATGCTATTCGGAAATTCGGACTCCTGAATGCAATTCGGGTCCAGGAGCTTCAGCTTCAGTATAATATCTGTATACGGTTTTCTGTGTTAGTTGCAACAAATATTCGTTCGTAAACTCATCCAAAACTAACAAAAATTCAGATTTTGTCCGAATCCGAAACCCCAAACCGAATTACATTTCTGACCCGAATCCTGAAAAATCCGAACCAAATTTTTTCGCAGCTTACATGTCTCCTCTGAAGTTGGACTACAAAGTGTTTGCGGAACATTGGGAAGATGACAATGAAAGTAGTTAACTCCATTATCTGATATCATTGCACTGAAACTTGCTACACTACATGGCTGGACATCTGAAGACAACTTGCCATCACACCTCTTTGAGAATATTGGCCGTCCCATTTCAAAACCATGGGCCGCATTAATATGGAGTTGTTGTTCCGCTCCTCACCCCCTGCACCAATAACAGTTTCCACTCTTCTGGGGAGACTTTCCATATTTTGTACTCATCAAACTGTGTCTATGGAGCAGGTGCAGAGTATGCTGCAAAAAAAAAGAGCATTCCCCAAACTGTTGCCACAAAGCTGGAAGTGCACAATTGTCATGGATCTCTTTGTATGCTTGTCAATTGAGATTCCATGGCTTTGTGCTTGATTTTTATGCACCTGTTTTCAGATTGGGATTTCCAATAAGCTCACAAAGGTGTGATGATCTGGTGTTTGGAAACTGTTGCCCATATAGTATACACTGAGTGGCCAGATTATTATGACCATCCCATCAGTACTTCGTTGGGCCACGAGATAACTCCACGAGATGACTTCATTGGGCCGCCTCGTGACTCCACAAGATGTTGAAAGGTGATGCGAGGAATCGGACACTGCACTGTTGCCCTTCTGTTGTCTTGTACCAGTCTTGTCACTCTCCGTTCTGCCCTAACATTGACTAGTCGCTGACGGCCACAATTCGCACGTTCAGACCCAGATTTTCGGCTGACAGTCTTGTCTTTAAACACTTTAACAACAGCTGCTCTTGAACATTTAACGAATTCTGCTGCTTTGCTGATACTCGCTCCATGGCTCCGAGTAAGGGTTAGAGACCTATGGAATGCCTGACAACATGCAAAGTATTATAACAGCTAACACCATGAAGCGGAGATGACAGAAGGCAATGAGCTAGTTTTGTCCTCACCGTGCTTGCACTTCCCACAATGCACGAGTTTATTGTCAGAGGTACACGACTGTGAGTTACACACGCAGCACAGCTGCTCCTTCCCCGGGACGGCGGCTACGGAACAAGAAGAGAAGATAATTCATGAACCTGCCATGCGTGACGGCGGGAATTCCGCCATGAATTATTAATTATGTCAGTTACAGTCATCAAAGCGGAATCTGAGATCTTACGAGGAAAGATGTCCTTCCACAGCACTGAGAACTGGGAGTTATCTTCAAAGCGGACCAGGCACGTCTCCTGTGTGCTATCCACCTGTAAGCGGGAAGAGTTTATGAGATGTGAGTGAGAAGGTACATCCAGGAGGAGGTGAGGAGGCTGAGAGTGAAGGGTTGGCAAGCAAAGTGGTGACAGTATTCCCCAGATCATCTGACAACTTTCATTTTACGCCGGGGGGTTTGAATCTATTTGTTTTTTGTAAGGCACTGCGGGTATCCATATGAAAGACACTTTGATGCATCTTAATACTACAACCTAAACCCTGAACTCCAGGCAAACAGCTAAATACACATAAGGGAGCTGTTTTATCTGCCAAATGATTTGCATTATTGTCCAACCAGTCCTGGGATTTACACAGCTCTGACAAACGGCACTGCCCTGTATGGCAGTGCAGGAAACCTGATTATTCTTTGCTGCAGTTAAGTAACACTAAGGGCCGGTGCACACCTATGCGACACCGTACCGCGCGGCAATCGTGCACGATTCCGGGCAGATTGCGGCGCGGTAAGGAGTCGTATAGATGTGCACTGATCGCGCTGTAGGTGCCATTATTTTTCAATGGCAACCCAGTCGCGCCGGGCAGATCGCGCGGTACCTTTTTTCTGCGGTACATGATGCGCGGCTGCTTTAGCCGCAATCGTGTTCAGGAGGACGGGCGGAAGCGTGAAGGGAAACCACGCGATCCGCCCGGCGAGACTGGGATGCCAATGAAAAAAAAATCAGTGCACATCTATATGACTCCTTACCGTGCGGCAATCCGCCCGGAATCGATTGCCGCACGGTATGGTGTTGCATAGGTGTGCACCGGCCCTTAAAGGTCTTGTCCATCCCCCAGCCTATGACTAGACAGTGAAAAGAGAAGCAGGAGACTGATAAGCTTAGCTCTCTATCATTCTGCTCTCTTCTCCTATAAGCATGCTCATTTTGCTGCAGGACAACTGTTTCTCCCCCTTTCAGTCTGGGCTCTGCTGGGAAAAGCCCAGAGGCTGACACCAAGTTGAATTCAGATACTTACATTGCTTGTATTTATTAATTATTAAGTATTATTGAATACATGTTGCAATATTTTGTGCCTTTTATATCTACCTGGAGTTCAGCATTAACCACTTCCTGCGGGTTCACGTAAATGTATGTCATCCGCTGGAAGTGGTTATACCAGCAGGCGATTTCTGTTTAAATACAAGTGATTTGACGTCTATACAGGTGCCGGATCGCTTGTGTGGTGCGGCGCAGTGTCGTCGTTGCCCCCCCCCCGTTGCCGCTCTGTATATCAAAAGGGTCCTCACCTTCTTGATGATGCCCAGGTACAGCAGTCCGTCTGTCCACCGAGCTAGAACGTCTTGACCCTCCCAGAAGCGAGCCAGTGTCTGGAAACGGGGGCGCTTCACCAGAGCAGGGTTGACCCTGGGGCTGGTGGGAGTGGTACGGCTAGGTCGGGTCGGGGTCTCCCTTCCCTCCATCACATTTTAAAAAGAACCTGTAGAAACAAACCATAAAGGAAGTCAGAGAGAGAAGAGAAGTCTGGAAGAACGTTAATGATGATACAATCTGTCTGCATGAACTGATGGGGCAATACAAAGAGGAAGGAAAATGTGTAGAGGTCAACTGGAACCCACAACCACCAATTGGAACCCACAACCACCAATTGGAACCCATCTTTAGGACATCTTCAAACAGATAAGTTTAATCTGGTATACAAATCATCGCTGTTTCCTGCATTGAATAAAGCCAAAAGACTCTAAATCATGGGAACCAACAACCAAAATGAAGTATAATTTTTTAAGTGAACCTGAATAAACCGGGAGCTGACAATATCTTCTTGTGCATGATAGACGCAGGCTTGGTGGCTGCCGGCTTGCTCTTATTTTTACTGCCTAGTAAATCACTGACCAGGAACAAGTATGCCAGTCTGACAACACACTTATTTCGAAGCAGTGACTCACCAGGAAATAAAGCCAAGATCAAAACATTAGCCCTGGGGGCTGCCCCTTAAAAATTAATGGGCAATGGCAGCTCCCATCTCTATATCCTCATACATTTCTTTTAAAGTGTAACCATTTTGCATCAATTTTTTTAATGAAAGGTAGTTGTATAGCGCCAACAATTTACATTCACATCAGTCCCTGCTCTCAAGGGTCTTACAATCTAAGGCCCCTATCTCCCGTGTAGGCATACGCATACTTACTAGCACCAATTAACCTACCAGCATGTCAATTGAGTGTTGGAAGAAACCAGAGTACCCAGAGGAAACCCAAGCACATGCAAACTCCATGAGGTAGCTTCCTGGTTGGGATTCAACCAAGTATCTCAATGCTGCATGGCAGGAGGTCTAATCGCTCAACTTGACCGACTCAATATAATAAGCAGGGTCATCCCTATAATTGGGCTGCCTTAGGCCACACATGCCGCACCCCTTTCCAGCCAGAGTGCACCAGGTTGCTAAGAGCTCTTAGCAACCTGTGATGCTCTGGCTGGCCTCCAGCGCAGCTCCTAGCAACCAGTGATGTCAGTGAGTTGGGCGGCATGCGGGACACAAGTACCTTCCCCTTCTGGTAACCTGGGCAACCAACAACCCCCCCACCGGGAATGTGCACCGCCAGCAACCACCTACTTGCTGACCATTGAAGTGCCCAGTAGATGTTCCAGTTGTGCTAGTTGCTACAGGCATTGTACAGACTAGGGATGCACCGATACCGCTACTAGTATCGGGTATCGGTGCCGAGTGTTTGGGCCAGTACTAGGTTTGTTCTGAAGTTGAATTTGTATGTAAGTTGGAACAGGTAAATTTTTTAAATGCAGCTCCAGCCAAAAAAAAATGTTTTTAGTTTAGGATAGCATAGGGAAGGGTTAACCCCCTGTAATGTTTGTTTTGCTGTGTGTGCCCCTGTTCAGAAGATTTCACCTCACTTTCTGTCCCTGTGACAATTGGATTTTGAACATTTTGGGTTATCGTGGAAACAAGGATTGGTGGTAAAGCTTCAGTGGAGACACCCTTTTCCCATGATCACTCTTACAGGAGTGAATTTCCCTTCCTAGGGGTGGATTTCCGCTCACTTCCTGTTGTCTCAAGGACAGGAAGTGAGATTAAATCTTTCTAATGAGGATACAGATAGCAGTAAAAACCTCACAGTGACCCGGAAGAAGAGGCGGGCACCCCATATCTGCACGTCTAACAACAGCCAACTTCCTGTAATGTACGTACAGTACTACGAACCATCCCCAAAAAGGTGGGTACTCCTCGTCTGCACAAGTACGCTAGCATTACAACTACTGGAACGCTGCGCAGTACACTTTAGCTGCAGCCTGGGACCCCCTGCTGTACAGTAATAGCCTCCATTTGTAAGTAGGAATCGTATGTAAGTCAGATGTTTGTAACTCGGGGACTTCCTGTATACGTATATGATTCCCAGACCCGTATTGCTTTCTGGAGCTCCCGAATGCTATTCGGAAATTCGGACTCCTGAATGCAATTCGGGTCCAGGAGCTTCAGCTTCAGTATAATATCTGTATACGGTTTTCTGTGTTAGTTGCAACAAATATTCGTTCGTAAACTCATCCAAAACTAACAAAAATTCAGATTTTGTCCGAATCCGAAACCCCAAACCGAATTACATTTCTGACCCGAATCCTGAAAAATCCGAACCAAATTTTTTCGCAGCTTACATGTCTCCTCTGAAGTTGGACTACAAAGTGTTTGCGGAACATTGGGAAGATGACAATGAAAGTAGTTAACTCCATTATCTGATATCATTGCACTGAAACTTGCTACACTACATGGCTGGACATCTGAAGACAACTTGCCATCACACCTCTTTGAGAATATTGGCCGTCCCATTTCAAAACCATGGGCCGCATTAATATGGAGTTGTTGTTCCGCTCCTCACCCCCTGCACCAATAACAGTTTCCACTCTTCTGGGGAGACTTTCCATATTTTGTACTCATCAAACTGTGTCTATGGAGCAGGTGCAGAGTATGCTGCAAAAAAAAAGAGCATTCCCCAAACTGTTGCCACAAAGCTGGAAGTGCACAATTGTCATGGATCTCTTTGTATGCTTGTCAATTGAGATTCCATGGCTTTGTGCTTGATTTTTATGCACCTGTTTTCAGATTGGGATTTCCAATAAGCTCACAAAGGTGTGATGATCTGGTGTTTGGAAACTGTTGCCCATATAGTATACACTGAGTGGCCAGATTATTATGACCATCCCATCAGTACTTCGTTGGGCCACGAGATAACTCCACGAGATGACTTCATTGGGCCGCCTCGTGACTCCACAAGATGTTGAAAGGTGATGCGAGGAATCGGACACTGCACTGTTGCCCTTCTGTTGTCTTGTACCAGTCTTGTCACTCTCCGTTCTGCCCTAACATTGACTAGTCGCTGACGGCCACAATTCGCACGTTCAGACCCAGATTTTCGGCTGACAGTCTTGTCTTTAAACACTTTAACAACAGCTGCTCTTGAACATTTAACGAATTCTGCTGCTTTGCTGATACTCGCTCCATGGCTCCGAGCCTCAACAATCATCCCACGTTCAAAGGCTGTTAAATCGCGTTGTTTATCCGTATCTTCAGAAACACTTCTACTGTCGTGGTAAACAACCTGCTTCCCTATTTATAATGGTCTGACCCTCTAGCAACTTCAGCGCAAAATTATAGCTAATTTGCCTACAAACGTCAGGTGGTCATAATAATCTGGCCACTCAGTGTATATACGGTACATAGCACACAATATGACTTTCTGAGGCACGGCACATAATCTATCTACCAGCTAGCTTACCCAGCAGTACACTTGATCAAGTTGTAACCAATACAACAGATTTTTTCCCAATTTTAGCATGGCATGTCTAAGGGCTATGGCACACTCACCATCCTTTCATTGGTGATAACTTGCCAGTTACAGTATCATAGAGAAAAATACTCTGGTTCATGGTGTCGCCCCTTCACTGGCCATATGAGTGAGGCATTGCTCTCTCGCTGATGGAAAGACTACAGAATCTCCCTCACCAACAAGGGATCGATGCCTCGTTTATCTGGCTAGTAAGGGAGCAACGCAGTGGAATCAGTTAAATATTTATTTGCTCTCTATAGCAATCTTGTTGCTGGTACAGTAAGGCTTGGGGCATTCAGAACAAAGTGACAGGGTCTGCGAAAATGATCCCCCAAAGGCTTCCCCATCACTCCTTCCTCTAACTCAAAACACCAAGTATTTTCGGGTATGGGTGATCATGTGACCTTCTCCAATGTGGTTGTGCTGGGGCCTAGTGGCTGAGCACTGTTACATAAGGGAGGGTCTGACTTCCCTGCTCCCTCTAGGCTCCGGCACCAGCCAACGCCAGCTATTTTGGCGGGTGCAATGGAGTTAGGAGTGGTTGGAGAGGTAACAGTGCTTCGGTTGTGTGGCGCACCTTTCACAGCCCAGAATGGGTGAAGTGACAGTGTTTCTTTTAGTGAAAGTTCATGGACGGAGAAAGTTGGTGGTGAAAGTTCATGGACGGATGAAGGTTCATGGATGGTGAAAGTTCATGGATGTTGAAAGTTCATGGATGGATGAAGGTTCATGGATGGATGAAGGTAGGATTTACATTGGGCAACCTATTATGTGCAGGTTGAGTTGCACAATAATGACATTGCAAGCCATACAATGCTGATGAAGGTTCATGGATGGTGAAAGTTCATGGATGTATGAAGGTTCATGGATGGTGAAAGTTCATGGATGTATGAAGGTTCATGGGTGGTGAAAGTTCATGGATGGATGAAGGTTCATGGATGGATGAAGGTTCATGGATGGATGAAGGTTCATGGGTGGTGAAAGTTCATGGATGGATGAAGGTTAATGGGTGGTGAAAGTTCATGGGTGGTGAAAGTTCATGGATGGATGAAGGTTCATGGATGGTGAAAGTTCATGGATGGATGAAGGTTCATGGTTGTGCATTCATAAAGAATTTCCTCTGCTTCATGGCTCTATTTAGAGGCCATAATATGCTTTGAAACTCATTCACAAAGCTGTTAATGTGCATCGTCACGCACAATTATTTGTGTATTATAGCTGTAAAAATGCACCATTATGGGTGAGTCTGGAGGACTCGGAGCATGTTGCTTGATTTTATCCCTGAATCTCTGTGCTTCTTTATGCAATGCAGGCAGATCATGAGTGCTGTGCATAGCTTCCTGCCCTTAACCCTGATGCAAGAAGTGGGCTGGCTCTTGGGAGGAGCTATGCAAATATGAAAATGCCTTGATGGATGGATGTTAGTCTGGAAAAGTGGACGTTCCAAGCTTGGCCCAGGTAATGGCCACATGTGATGCTGAGCTTCCAAGATTGGAAGAACTGCAATCCAATGAATGAAAGTTGAGGCAAGGACAGTCAGGGACAGAGGCAGGGACAGTCAGGCTGGGGAGGAAAGAGCTAGGTTATAAGGAAATGAGGCGGGCTCTATCTGCTGCAGCTTCTAATGCACATTGTGAGCTCACAT